CCCCCCCCTCGAGGCCCTGCTCGCGGCGCGGCGCCCGCCCTCAACATCCCCTTTGCTGCTCGGGCCCTTGAAGCCTCCTCCCAATGAGCCAGCCCCGCCCGACCGCCGGGGGGCCCGGCTCCCTTGACCGGCTCGATCTGTCGGACCTCTTCCTCAGCCAGTCGCCCCTTCCGCAGTCGAAGTTCTCGTCCGGCAGTTCAGGCGGCACGTCGGTCAAGCCACGCGGTGGGCATCGCCCTGCCGGGGCCGGCCCCTCGGCTGCCGGCCCTCGAGCCGCGGACGGCGCCGCGGCAACCGGCCCCGCCCCCCCGCCGCCTCCCTGCGGGGTTTGTCTGCGGTTCACCTCCTCCCCGGACAACTGGCCATCCAGCCCCCTTCATCTGTGCACCTTCCACCATGGCCTGCTCCAATCGGTGGGCCAGCTTTGGGCCCCCAACAGGTATCCTTCCCACCGCCCTCCGGGCCGCCTCGCCTCATGCCCTGTCTCCGGCCGGGTTCTCGCGCCACCGCTGCCGCTGTCGCTCCCTCCGCCCGCCCCCCCCCCCCCTCTATCTCTCCTTCTGTCTGTGCTCGTCGCCTGACACATCTCCCCCCCCCGCCTCCCCTGCCCCGCCCTCGACGGTGCAGCTTCTGCCCCTCGGTTCCTCAGCCGGACACCTCCTGCCTGCGAGTGCTGGTCTTTCGCGATGATGTGCCCGGGCCTGCCGGCATCCAGTCCCGTTGCGCCCTCTTCGACTCCTTCATGCGGCCGAGCTCCAGCCGGTCTTCGGCCAGCAGCTCGGCCGGCTCCAGCGGATCCACCGGCCCCTCGTCGCGTTCGCGCCCGGTTCGACGAGTACGCGCCTCTCAGCGTCTCCCCTGCCCTTTCTCCCCCCCCCTCTCTCTCTCTCTCCTTGCTTCTTACGCACTCATGGTCTCCCTCCCTCTTCTGCCCCCGTTGACCCATCCTCGGCTTGACCTGCTCACCTCGGCTCACCCCCCCCTCCCCCTCCCTCCCCCCCCCGCTGTGCCCCCATTGTGTCCGGCTTAGAATCCCGTCCTCGCCCCCATCTGGAATCTGGTTTTCGGGTCGGTCCCCCTGAAAGACACGCACGGCATCTCCACCAAGCTCCACTACCTCCCGCCATCCGCCCTGAGCACGGCCGAATCCGGGCCCGGCTTGACCCCGCCCGGGGCCGGGACGCCCCCCTCGCTGGTGGATCCCGGCTCCGCCGCCAGCATCGATCCCCGCGGGAGCCTCATGCTGTCCAAGGTTTTCACCGTTCGGCAGCCGGCCAGCTCGCCCTCCGGCGCCGGGCACTCGCGTGCTGGCAGCCTGGTCGGCTCGCCCGGCGGTGGGATGACGCCGGTTGCACAGTCCCTCCCGCCGGCCGCCACCCGATCTGCCCCCATGCACCATGCTCCTGCCTTTGCCGCCGGGAAGTCCCTCGACCCGGAGGCCGCCTCCCTGCAATCCTTCCTGTCCTCGGCCTCGGCCGCTGCCTCGCCGGCTGCGGCCCTCCTTCCCCACTCCGAGACGGTGGCCCGACAGATGGGGCCCCCCCTTGGCCTGCCCACCGCCGGGCTCCCCCCCCCCACCGGCGGCATGGCGGCAGCCGGCCCCTTCGCCCCCCTGCCCGTGGCCCCCACCTCGGCTCCTGAGCTTGGCCCCCTGTCACTGCTCCTGGCCCCGGCTGCCTTGGGCTCGGAGCCGGACCTCCCGCCTTCGAGCCCCGTGACCCCGGGCCCGGAGGCCGGCGCCCCTGCCGGTGCACTGCTTGCGACGGCCCCGCGGCCGGCCGCCCTCGCCGTGTCTCCGGCCTCGGCCTCGGCGCCGCCCCCTTCCCTGACGTCGGTGACCCGTGCGCCAGCCCCC